GATCCCATCAAGTGAAAATAGTTCACTTTAAAATCTGACATTGCTTGGCTGTCCATGGATGTTAGCAAAGTTAGTTATTTCTATGTTAGTTGAAGGTAGTCCTTCGTAACAGTACTTCATTTGTTTACCTGTTGCTAGTAACACTTTGTACGTCTCGTTTTTTTGTTGAAAATCAAACCACTAAACAGGACCATATATTGATCACAGGCTTCTGAAAATGTGCAGTTTAAATCTATTTTTTACTTGCGTTTTCTTGCATTTTTCCAGCATGATGTCACTGTAATGTGTAAATGTAGTGATTTATTCACTATTAACCATAAATGATTGTGCATTGAAATGTTTTTTTCTTTTGTCAGTTTCGCAGAGATCTGATTAAATCTATTCCACTGGTGTTGATCTCCATCCCTCCATTTGCAAATTATCTAGTTTTCGTCTTGATGTAAGTCTCCCATCTAAATAAATGTAATTAACAGTATGTTTAGGCAGGGCCTAAAGGGTTTCAAACACATCTGTCCACTTTTCTGACAGAATTAGTGGAAATTAACATGGCTGTAGCACCCCTCAAGGAATGAATATGAGCACGAGGTTTTTTAACAGGGTTTATTCAATCTTCACAACCCGTGAGAACTGGCAGCAAAGAAAACAATAAATAAAACATCAAAATCAATTCTGCACCTTACAATATAATACAATATAATAATAAAGCACACAAACCTCGTGGGCTGACATCCACGAGGGGGCTAATCGTTTATCTTGCTTCAAATTTCCTTCGTTATATACGGAGATATTCACATGTCCGCGGCAATGCGTTGACAGCAAGGTGCGCAGTTAATTAGGTTCGGGCGGAACTTTCTATTATACTTTGTTCCACATTGTGATTGACCACTAGATGGCGCAAAGTAAAATATTAAGACAAACGCGAAATTAATGGCAATACTGTGTGTGTGTGTGGGGGGGGGGGGGTTGAACATTACAAGTTTTTTTGTTTGTTTTTTTGTTGTTTTTTTTTGCCCTTTTTGCAAACAGTTCTTAAATACAGACAATGTACTTGATATTCTAATTTTGCTGATCTCCAAAATTGTGAAAATCACAAATTATTAATTTTTTGATACCAGTCCCACCTTGCTCTGACATCAAAAGCAAAACTTAACTGCATCCATTTCAAAAAAGGTCATATCTTTGGAGAGATATTATTTTTCTTTTGGTTTGTACTGTTTTTTTGTTTTTTTTTACCCAGAATAACTGTAACAACTGACATTACGGTTGTAATGATTTATTTATTTATTCATTTTTTCTTGAACAGGTACTTTTTCCCGCGGCAGATACTGATCCCTCATTTCTGGACACCACAGCAGCAGGTCACATTTCGGGGCATTTATCATTCAATGAGAGTGCAGCACTATCCCTCTGTACTGAGAGGACTGGAGCACTCAAACCGCAAAGTGAAAGATAAACCCTTACAAAAGAGCCTTAAAGACCTATATACTAAAGTAAGGGAAAGATTAACCTAATGATGAATTCTAAAACTGCATATATTTCAAAATATATATATATATCAACATGCATATATATCTAAAGCCTTCACTTTTCTATTGTATTTGGTTTAATTACAGGTGCAAAGTGGATCCACTCCCAAAGTGTCTGAAATCCTCGCTGTCCGTAGCCTTTTTTCTGGACCTCCTCTGGGCATAAAAAGGATGCGCACAGAACAAAAGGTTAGTCGAAGTGTCCCTATCAGGCTGATGTTTGCACTTTTTAGCCAAAAGGAAATTTTTTGCCTCGAAACAAGTACAGAATCTTGAGTTAGTGTAATTTAATAGTGTAATCACAAAACAGCAGTGCTTATCAGTTGCTCTGTATTTTAACATGAGCATTTGCAAAGGTCAGACTTAATCACCAAACAATCTGTTTTGTCCATAGACTGCATGCAGAAAATGTAATTAGAAATTTGTAGACTATGAAACCACAAATTGATGATCCTCTGGTATCCACTAACAATAAGAAAAGTTATCAGAAAATATGCAACTTGTGGTTTTGCAGAGACAGTTGAGTCGGCTGCTCTTCCTCACCCCTCACCTGCCTGTGTTCATGGTGGGTCGGAGACTGTACAGTCACGCTCTGGAGCTTCTGTACCTGGACCGTGCCCTGAGCCGCCTGGGCCCCCACCAGCTCAGTGACACTGAGCTCAGACAGGTGAGAACACTGAAAAAATGCTTTT